GGAGCCCCTTCAGGCACTGGAAGCTGCTCTAAGGTCTCCCTGGAGCCTTCTCTTCTCCAGGCTGAACACCCCAACTCTCCCAGCCTGGCTCCAGAGCAGAGCTGCTCCAGCCCTTGGAGCATCTCTGTGGCCTCCTCTGGAGTCTCCAACAGCTCCATGACCTTCTTATGTTGGGGGCTCCAGAGCTGGACAGAGTTCCAGGTGGGGTCTCATGAGAGCAGAGTAGAGGGCAGAACCCCTCCCTGGCCCTGCTGGTTACACTGCTGGTGATGCAGCCCAGGACACGGGTGGTTTCTGGGTTGCAGTGCATGTTGCCAGCTCACTGTGAGCTTCTCCTCACCCACCACCCTCAAGTCCTTCTCCTCAGGGCTGTCCTCAATTCATTCTCCTCTTAATCATTCAGCCCTATAAAGCCTCCAAGACCTATAGAAACAGAGAGGCTGTTCTTCCCAGCTGCCCTTTGCCCCCCTGGCACACAGCAGGAAGGGGAGTGTGAGCATTGCAGTGCATGTTGCCAGCTCACTGTGAGCTTCTCCTCACCCACCACCCTCAAGTCCTTCTCCTCAGGGCTGTCCTCAATTCATTCTCCTCTTAATCATTCAGCCCTATAAAGCCTCCAAGACCTATAGAAACAGAGAGGCTGTTCTTCCCAGCTGCCCTTTGCCCCCCTGGCACACAGCAGGAAGGGGAGTGTGAGCACATTAATCTCTGCTGAAGGTTGTCCCTGACGCCTTTAAGCTGTGGAGAAGTGCCCAGTGAACGTGTCTTCTGATCTTTGATGATCTTCACCTGGAGGAAATAACTGTCTTTGTGGCACATATGGTACCTAAATCTGCCCCTTTCTCTACAGATGAAGTTCCTTTGCTGTGGTTTACATGAATATCTCATAGGTGGGTGTCTGAGGGTGCTCTGACCCTTGGCAGGCAGGAAACAAGTGCCAGAAAGCCCTGAAGATGCAAGGGCTGGAGCAGTCTCTTGGCTGTAGGCTTCTGTCTGCTCCTCTTCCAAAACTGTTGTCTCTTTAGGAAACTGTGCTTACTCTCCTCCCAGCATTGTGTCTGTCAAACACAGGGATGAATCTGCCTCTTGAGGTCTCAGTTCTCTTATCAAGCAGCATCAGATGTGGAAAAGTTTGAGTGTCAACTTCACTAAACTGCTGTCGGTCCCACCGAGAGCTCCCTGCCCTCCTCTTCCCATCCCCACCTCTTTCACCTGAAGGAGCAAGGAGTTTTTAGGCTGCCAGATGAATGTCTCCTAACAGGGATGAGGAATGGTGGTTTTTGGACCCACCACAAGTCCAATTTGGTTTGTGCTGAGTGGGGGGAGGTTGGTGGCTACAGAAAGGAACAAAGTGGCTGCTTCTTCTGGTCCTAATGACATTGAGAGTGTGGCTTTGTAACTTGAGGCGCCGGGACGGGAGAGGTATGAGATGGTGGGCAGAGCACTTGGCCAGGAATTGATCTGACAGGCAGGAAGGTGTGAGACATGACTGGGAGTTGAGTGTGTAACCTTTTTGCAGGCTGCAGACACCTTGGCTGTGCGACAGAAGCGACGGATCTACGATATCACCAACGTCCTGGAAGGCATCGGGTTGATCGAGAAGAAATCCAAGAACAGCATCCAGTGGAAGTGAGTGGTAGAGGAGCTCCCTGGTCCCTTTTTGTCCAGGCCTAAGTGACACTGGGGTTAAAATGACCCTGCCCAGAGCGAGGTTCCTCAGTGGTCTGTGCATGCTGGGCCATGCTGATGGCAGTAATGAGGACAGCTGAAGTATGTCTGGTGTGTCTTTTACAGCAGAGCTGTTGTTTTGGTACAAATCAAGTGTTTGCAGCACCTTGGGGTGGAAGAGATGCCTGTTGTGGCACTGGAGGTGGGGTGTGACCCTGCCAGTCAGTGGGATGTAGGAAGATGAACCAGATGTTGTTGTGCTGGGGGTGTAGAGCAGGTACAGGTGAGGCTTTCTGGGTAATCTGGCCTATGACAGGGGTGTCAGCAAAGGAGGTGGCAGCAAAAAGGAGGTGCCAGCCCCTCTGAGAGGCTGGGGCTGGTCTGGGGGGGCCTCCAGAAGCTGATGTGTGTCCCTCCTTTTTACTTTGCCCAGAGGGGTGGGTCCTGGCTGCAACACCCGTGAAATAGCTCACAAACTGATCGAGCTGAAGGCAGACATAGAGGACCTGGAGCAGCGGGAGCAGGAGCTGGAGCAGCAGAAGCTG